CCCCAAAACCCCAAAACCCCAAAACCCCAAAACCCCTATAAATTCAAGCAGTATTGAACTTAAGGAATAGGAATATATCTCCATAAAATATCCTTCTCTTCAGTGATTTCGTGACTAGATCTCTCTTCATCAAGTTGCTCTATCGTGAAGCCGAATTTCTTACAGAATTCCTCATCTGTGCCAATAAGAGCTTCTGTGATATCAAACTCAAAGTTCTGGTTGTATGCAAGTGCACAACGAGGCCTGATATGAGCATTATAGTTCATCTTCAACATTAATGGCCATGATCTTTCAGTTTTGAGGCCTCTTCCAAGCTCGATTATGAAGAAGCTTTCCTTAGCCTTGAAACTTGCATAAGATTTTAAGAAAAGCTTTGGATGACGCAGGAACAAATCACGAAGGTATAACTTTGGTGAATTTGAATTCTTCATTACAATTTTGATCTTCTCTACAATTATGTTCTTTCTTCCTTGCAATATGAATTCTGGATAACGCAGGATGATTTCTTTCATGTCTGAAGCTTTCACTCCCAAAAGAACTTTTGCTATGAGAAGTTAGAAATCTGAGAAATATTGGATTGAAATTTAGATTTTACTTACGAGTTTCAAACAACGCTCTTATGTTTCCTTTCTTGAGACCAAAAATACCTGGCTGCTCTTTAAACATCCTAATTGTTTCTTCTTTGGAAAACCTGTAGTGGTTGAATTCATTGATAAATCTCTGATAGTTTTCTTGAGGGCAAATAAGATAGAATGGATTTGCTCTAAATATCTCAGAGATTTCTTCAGTGGTGATCTCTCTATTTGAAATTCCTACTTCAGTGTAATAAGCTATTCTTTCATCAATTTGCTTTGTGTCAATATTCATGTATCTGGGAAATCTGAGTAGAATTTCTTTGGAGTCTTTTACAGTTGAGCCTAGCTTATCAATAAAGTATTTGGTGATGTTTGGAACAACTCCTCCATTCTCATATTCAGAAGGAACAGCAACATTAGAGTTGAAATGGAGCAGATAGTCAATATCTTCTTCTGAATATCCGTGTTCTTGTATAAGAGTTTCGCTAATATAGTTTTCAATCTCTTCAACAGGGATTTCTGCATAAGGAGATAAGTCAGCATCATCCTGAATACTAGAATATCTACTTAACAAGTAGTCATCACCCTTTAAATCCCTTGCATTCATACCGGTAGCGCTGCTAAAGCTCCTCACAAACATAGTGTTAATTCTATTTTGCAAGCCAACTCTATTACTGCTTACACAGGCAAAATTCTTTGCTCCAATTTTCCAAAAATTGCCTATTTGAACGCTAGAAAGCTTCTGTTGATGCTTAACCAGTCTTCTAGCCAAGAAAGCACTGTTCATATTATAAATTTTTATTTATCGTGAATTTTATAATTTAGAAAAATGGGGTTTTGGGGTTTTGGGGTTTTGGGGTTTTGGGGTTTTGGGG